TGTCCAGGTGGGTCTCGAACCTGCGGGCTCAGGCAATCCACTCACCCCAGCCTCCCAAGGTGCGGGATTACAGGCTGAGCCACCAAGCCTGGCCCATCTTAGTCTTTCAAAGTGCTGGGATTACAGGCATGAGCCACCGTGCCCTGCCCATTACCTGTATTATTAACACTGCCAGCAAAAACAGCTAGTTGAAAATGTTTGGACTATTGCATCTGCTAGTGAGTGGCCGAGGCATTGTGTGCCTATGGTCCGACGCCCTCCCTGGGGCGGGGGCTGGCCCGGATGCTGAGCACCTTCCTCTCTGCAGCTGATGCTGTGTGGCATGCAGGAGATAGATATGAACGACTGGCAGAAGAACACTATCTACCGGCACTACACCAAGAACAGCAAGCAGATCCAGTGGTTCTGGCAGGTGGGTCATGGTGGGGACTCTTAGCTGTCACCTGAGGAAACGGGCCCCAACTAGACCCCATGCTCCAGGACCCCCCAGCTTTGACCCTCTACTCACCTCCCTCCATTTACACAGGGAGATGACAAACCCAGCTCTAGGACAGATGAAGACACTAGCACCCAGACTGTGGCCAGCTGATGTGACGGGAGGTTGTCAGTGGGCCAGCGGGTGTGCAAGTTGTGACCCTGTAGGGGGAGGGAGTGCTGCCATGGGGCCGGGAAGATGGGAAGGTGGCTGCTTTGGCTCAGGAAAACAGAATGAGCTGTTGTCCTGGAGATAATGGATGTACTGATTCCTTTATATGCATGGGCTTTGCTGTTGCCATCGTAAAGTGTAGAATCCATGAAAAATAGTACATGTGACACAGATATTCCTAGTATGTGTGCGTGTGTGTGTGTGTGTTTGTATGAATTACTTTTGTGGGGATAAAATTTGTACAACATACAATTAACTATTTTAGTATTTTAAGATACACAGTTCAGTGACTTCTAATACATTCAATGTTGGGTAACTATTACCACAGTCTAATTCTAGAACATTTCATCTCTCCAAAAAGAAACCCATTAGGCAGTATATCTCGTGTGTGTGTGTGTGTGTGTGTGTGTGTGTGTGTGTGTGTGTATGTGTGTGTGTATGTGTGTGTGTGTGTTGGGAGGAGGGTTGGAATCACTCCGTGACCCAGGCTGGAGGGCAGTGGCACAATCATGGTTCACCTTAGTCTTGACCTCCTGGGATTAGGTGATCCTTTTGCCTCAGCTTCCCAAGTAGCTGGGACTATAGGTGTACGTCACCACTCCTGGTTTTTTATCTTATTTTATTTTTTGTAGAGATAAGGTCTTGCTATGTTGCCCAGGCTGGTCTTGAACCCCTGGGCTCAGGCAATGCTCCTGCCTCAGCCTCCCAAAGTGAGGGGATTACTGGCATGAGCCACCACACCTGGTTTATCCTTAGTGTATTTTTAAAAATAGAACTTGAAAGGGAAGAAAATACCTGGCCCAAGATGTTTCTGAGACCCAGAAGTGTCCCACAGACTGGTGGGAATGTTCTCCAAGCACAAGCTATTAGAGAAAGCACCTCAGGTTGGTGGCTGTCACCCACTGCCCAGCCTGCCTTCGTATTTTTAGCCCCAAGAGGGGCCATGCTGACCTGGAGAGCTCCACGTTGGGGCAGCGTGCAAGCCGGGTGGGCCCCTGACCATACCTGACTTGTGCATTCCAGGTGGTAAAGGAGATGGACAATGAGAAGAGGATCCGGCTGCTGCAGTTTGTTACCGGGACCTGCCGCCTGCCCGTTGGGGGCTTTGCTGAGCTCATCGGTACACTCCCTTTCCCCTGTGGGTGTCCTGGCCAGGGGTGAGGACAGCTCAGAGGAAGGATGGACCCAGTGTCCTCCTGGAAGCAAGTCAGTGGGTAGGGGAGGAGCTATGGTCGCTTCACCCTGGGACTGGGCCCATCTGTGGGTGGAGCCAGAGGCTCCTGCTTCAGGAAGGGTGTTTCTGTTGACAGTGGCGCCTTTTCCCTTGGCTCACAGGTAGCAATGGACCACAGAAGTTTTGCATTGACAAGGTTGGCAAGGAAACCTGGCTGCCCAGAAGCCACACCTGGTGAGCTCACTGGTTATAGAGGGAGGTAGCAGAGCCTCAAGAGATGAGCTCCCAGGGCCGCCCAGTGGGTGCAGCAACTCCAGAGCCTGGACTCTGGCAAGCTTTTGCATCACCCTGGGGTGCTGGGCTGGAGAGATGGGCTGAGATGGGCCCGGGGCTGTCTCAGCCTTGGGCCTCTGACCCACCAGGTACGTCATATTGAAACACTTTCATTCCAGTAGGCAAAGAGCTGCTGCCCTCAGCGTCCCCCTTCCAGTTTTCCAGCTGTCCCAGCTCCTCCCCTAGCCCCCCCTAGGCCCCCCAACCCTGTGATCCTGACACGGCAGGTCATCCCCCATGTGGCGTGAGCTCTGTGGCCCCAGTAGCCAGGCTTGGGCGGGGCAGTTAGCACCTGACCTCCTAGTGCTGACTGTCCTGTTCCCCCCTCTCGATAGCTTCAATCGTCTGGACCTCCCACCCTACAAGAGCTACGAGCAACTGAGAGAGAAGCTGCTGTATGCCATCGAGGAGACTGAGGGCTTTGGGCAGGAGTAATCGAGGCCGCCTCTCCCACGCCCCCCAGTGCACTCACAGTCCTAAGCCCTTCCTGCCTGAGAGGCCATTGGCCCTACAGCCCTTGGGGGCCGGGGCCCCTGTGGATGATGACCTGCGTGGGACCACACTGTCATCACGCTGGTGGCAGAAGAGCCTGGCCCCAAGAGGCCCTGCAGCCTCCCTGACCCATGAGTGGCAATCTGGAATAAACCCCCCCAGTCACCTTTGGCCTGGCCACCCTTTGCAAAGTCCAGAGGGCTGACCCTCTCTGCAAAACCCTCCCCCTTCCTAGGCCCAGCCCTGTGTGTGCGTGAGTAGGCAAGGGAGTCATCGTGTCTCAAGGGCTGTGGCAGCAGTCGGCCTCATGGGCTAGTTAGGGAGAAGTTTGGCCACTTGGGGTGGCCATTCTGGACTGAGTAAGCCAAGGTTCCTTGTCAGTAGAAGAGGTTCTGTCTTCAGTAGAATTTTTCCAGTGAGATAGGAATCTGAGGGAGAGGACTTGACCATGGCCGCCTCCACTTCCCTCTCTAGCAGTCTCCAGCTGTGGAGGCTGAGCAGCAGGGCTCAGTACCGGCCAGTTCATTGTTTCTCAGAAGATAAAACATTGTCCACACTGCCTGGGTGTCAGTAGGATAGAGACAGCATCAGACTTCGTCCCTCAGACTCTGTCCGTTCCTTAACTCGAAGGGTGTGTTTAGGGTTGCTCTTTGGGTTTTTTTGGTTGCTGCTGTCACTTTCCATCAAGGAGCTGGTGCCCCCGGGGTCCTGGGACCTTGAGGGTCACAGCCCCGTTGGTCTGAGAGTTTCCCAAACAGCTGCTTCTCTCAGGAACCCACTTAGTGGTTCTGTGAGCTTCTCAGTGGTCTCGTCCCTGAACTTTCAGAGAGAAAAGGGGATGGGGCCTGAGCACCACTCTTGACCTCACAGCCTTTGGCAGAGAAGAAATCCCTTTGCTAGCTGCAGTCCCCTGGGCAGCCCCCAGGAATGGGGCACATGGGTCTGACGGTGTTTCTCGCTGATCCCTGAAGCGCTGGTGGGCCTCTCAGTCCCATTTAGAGTACAGTGCATCCTGGCCAGCTGACTATTAGTTCTGCATAGATGTGTGGCTTTATCTGCACACAGGAGATGGAGACCAGCAAAAGGGCCCTGAGCTGCTGCACAGCCTGGCCTGATTTCTGGAGTCCCTGCCAGCTTGCCATGGGGGTTCTGCCATTTCTTGAACATTTCAAGGTGAACGTGCTCCCCTGGGAGGCTGGAGTAGTGACCGTCGCAGACTCCCCATTCCAGGCCCCGGGATTCTGTTCCGAGCACCAACTGCAGATCGACCTCCTAGGACCTAGGCAGGCTCTCAGACTGGTCACGGGGGCCTCCCAAGGGCAGCCTTGCGTTCCCAGGTCCTTTTCCTGAGGTGCGGCCGTGTCCGCCTGTGTCACGTGTGCTGATCTGAGTGGTGCAGCTCGCTGCAGCTCAGCCCCTCCTCTCCCTGCTGCGCTTTCTGTGGGTGGGTCATGTGTGAGCTGCTGTGTGAGGTCTGGAGGCATCAGACTGACGGGTGTTCCTGTGTGTTGGTGTATGTGCACGTGCATACGTGTATATAACGGAAGTGTTCGTACGGAATGCCCTTCAGTTGTGCTGGGTTGGCCACCAAGTTGTTTTGTAATGCCCACCCTTGCCTCGGTATTGCCAGTTTCTTGTGCAATAAACAATCAGCAGCTGTGGGTGGTGTTGGTGTGGATGTCTACGGAAACACTGTCCTGCAGGTAAGAGGCCTTGGAGACCCACAGGCCCTCCAGACCCGGAGACAGGTGGAAGTTCCCCCACCCGGATGGTTTTGAGAAGCCTGTGTATCTCTGTCCCAGGCAGCCCCACTTCTGGGACAGGTAGCCGAGGCTTTGTGCAGGCTTCAGCCCTTGGTTGGCTGCCCCACTGCACCTTTTTGCCACCCTCAGCCTCCCCCTGCTGGGCCTGGGTTTCTTCAAGCAGCTAAAGGTTGGGTGCTTCGGAAACCAGCTCAGGGGAGAGTCATTTCAAGAAATTCTCACTGAGGCCTCTCAGGCCCCATGATGGTGGAGGGCCTTAGTGGCCTTGCCCTCATGCTCACACGGGGCTTGCTACCCACTTTTTTTTTTTTTTTTTTTTTTGCGAGTTAAGGGTTCAAAGATGGGACATCTTCATACTGATGTGTCTTGATGCATTTGACACAGACACAACTTTATCAAGGACCAGCAGACCCTGACTGTGCATCTTGTCGGAGAGGTGGAGCTGTCCTGAGCATGTTCCTCCCCAGAATCCACCAGCTCCAAGACCCTTTTTCACATGATAGGGCAACACTGTTCTTTGAAAAAATTATTGCAAAGAGTTCATATCTTATACAGACATCTCATGATAAATTCAAAGATGTGCTCAAGTGGAAATTGATCTCCCCACCCGTGTCCCCAGAAGGAACCACTGCTCGCAGTTGGCGGCATCCTTCCGGGTGATCTTGTATGCATATGCAAATCAGTACACATATGAGTTTTAAATACAACCAAAATGGAAACTTATACAAGTTGAGCAACTCTTTTCTCTCATTAAATGAGATCTGCAGGACACTTTCCCGTGTTCGTCAATGCAGAGCTACTTAATTCTTTAGTGTGTGACTTTCCGGATTATAGCAGTTCTATAATATGCCCATCTTCTTAATAAGGATTGTGTCCAACAGTTGACTGGTGGCTGCAAACCCCAGTAAACACCCTTGGGCAGGCCTGTGTGCTGTGTTGCTCTTCCAATAGGGGACTATTAGGGTATGGAGAGGGTGAGGGTAGAGAGGCGCAGGGAGGTGCAGCACCCCCGGGGCTGGCAAGCCGGAGGTGAGCACTGGCAACCCAGAGTTCCGAGTAAATTGCAAAGAATTTTGCAGCACACAGAGGTGAGAGAAGAAAAGATTTATTTAAGAAACATTCACGCCCTACAGATAGGGAATGGGCCTACACTCTAGGTGAGTGAGGCTTCATAGCCCCCCAAAACCCTGGCTTAAGTCCTTGTCTTGGAGATGTTGCATGTGACTGCTGTGACTTCTTTATCGACCATCTGTGGATGTCTTGGAGAACCTGTGACACAGAGACCCACTAATGTCTGCCCACATTATCATAGCCCCTAGAGAAGGGTGTGACAAAGATTCTAATTCTCCTGCACCTTCCCAAACGACATTCCTTAGAGCTAGTGGAGGGTGCACCTCCCCTTATCTCCTGTGCATTCCCAGTGTGTAGCTTCGGGGGATCCTTGACTTCTCCGTAGATAGTGCTCAATTTACTGGAAGATAGAATCCCCACCTGCTCTCCCTCTGAGCTGTCATAACTTTTGTAATTACAAGTTTCATGACTTTTACAGTCCTCGCCCAATGCATGATGTCTTATGCCTTGTAAATTCCCTTTACCCTAGGCAAGCTTGATTGCCACTATGAGATACTTCTGATACCTGGAAGTCTGTTTCTGAAAAGGCAAAGTCAGTAAAGTTAATTTTACCTAAAATGTGCATTTCTCCAAAAGCATAGCTTCTTCTTTCTCATTATTGTCTCAGGATTTAAGAACAAGATGAAAAATGGCTTCCCACTGTCAGTCTATCCTTTCAGGGACAATCCTAGAAGTTGGATTGTTGATTATGCAACTTTGTTTCTATTTATTTATTTATTTTTGAGTTGGAGTCTCACTCTGTGGCCCAGGCTGGAGTGCAGTGGCATGCTCACGGCCACTGTAGCCTCAAGCTGCTGGGCTCAGGTAATCCATCTGCCTCCTTTTTTTGGAGACCCTGTCTCTAAAAAAAAAATAAAGTGTATCTGGAAGGATCCAAAAGAAACTAGTAATGATGGCTGCCTCCAGAAGAGGATCAGAGTGGCTGAGAGATGGAAGAGCAGGAGGAGTCCTTCAATGTAGACCCTTTGCATCTTTGAATTTTGAACCTGTTGAAAATTTTAAAATAAAAGATGCCTATAATCCCAGCACTTTGGGAGGCCGAGGTGAGAGAATTGCCTGAGCCCATGGGTTCAAGATCAGCCTGGGCAACTTGGTGAGACCTCATCTCTACAGTAAATGAAAAAATCAGCTTGGTGGCGTACACCTGAAATTCTACCTACTTGGAAGGCTGAAGCGGAAGGATTGCCTGAGCCCAGCAGGTCGAGGCTGCAGTGGCTGTGAGCGTGCCACTGCACTCCAGCCTGGGCAACGATGAGACTCCAACTCAAAAAATATATATATCGTTGACTGTATAGAATAATGCAATTATTTCCTGCTCAGTCCTTTCCTCTACAATTTTTAATGTCCCCTCTTTGCTTTTATTTTTTAAATTTTATTTTTTTGAGTCATGGTCTCACTCAGGCTGCAGTGCGGTGGCACGGTCACAGCTCACCACAGCCTCCAACTCCTGAGCTCAAGCAATCCTGCCTCAGCCTCCTGAGTAGCTGGGACTATAGGTGCATGCCAACACACCTGGCTAAGTTTTTTATTTTTTTGTAGAGATGAGGTCTCATTATGTTGTCCAGGCTGGTCTCGAACTCCTGAGCTCAAGGAACCTTCCTCCCTCAGCTTCCCAGAGTGCTGAGATTACAGGCATGAGCCACTGTGCCCAGCCATGCTTTTATTATACCCTCAATTTTTTTCTTACTCTGAAGAGTTTCAAGTAAAAGTAGATGAGCAGAGAGGACCCCTCCCCATAATCCCTACACACTGTATTAAGTTCCAGATATAATTAGCCAAAGGTATAAAATCATTTGGAAGTGATTTTGGCATTATGGCTACCTGGGACCCCAGAGTCCCCATGGGGCTCCCATGGGTAAGGCCTTCTATTAGGTGGATCCTCACCAGGTCTGGAAAGCTCAGCTTCTGCTGTGCCACTGCCCTTCTATACACTGGGGCTTATACCCCTTTCTAGAAACACTTAACACTAAAGATCTGGGCTTTCGTTTAAAGGAATACTTACAGATAGGAGGCCCTCCCAGGAGTGGAGCCAAACTCAGCATCCGCACAGCCCTAGCCTTATCCTGGGGAGAAAGACTGAGTCAGTACCAGAAGTTGCTCATTGCCCTGCCATCTACTCTGGATCTGATTTTCCCTTTTATCTAGGTCCCTTGGTTTTGAGGTTGGTTAGTTCAAGTATCACGGGTAAAAGTCTAGGTGGCTCCAGGCGGTGCCAGCCCGGGTCAAGCACCAGCCAAGGATGCAGATTGGAGCATCCGATTCTTCCTTGGTACACTTTCTACATTTGTGACTTTGGAATGTTGTGATGGACTCAAGACCCCGCTCCAGTTCAACTGGTTCCAGTGACGCATTGCTTTTGCTTTGTTAAAAATTGAGGTAAAGCACACATAACACAAAAGGTACTATCGAGACCGTTCAAGTGTCATTAAACACATTCATAGTGTTGCACATCCATCCCCACCATCCATGTCCAGAACACTTGTCATCTCATAAGACAGCAACTGGGTACCCACGAGATAACTCCACATCCCCCCCTTCCCCCAACCCCAGGCAACCACTGTTCTATTTTTTGTTTTTATGATCGTGACTACTCTTCTATGAGTGGAATCATACAGTATTTGTCTTTTTGTGATTGGCTTATTTCACTTAGCCTAATGCCCTCGAGTTTCATCCATGTTTTGTAGCATGTGTCAGAATGTCCTTCCTTTTTTTTTTTATTTTAAAGACATGATCTTGTTCTGTCACTCAGGTTGGAGTGAAGTGGTGTGGTCCTAGCTCACTACAGCCTCGAACTCCTGGGATCAAGTGATTCTCCTGCTTCAGCCTCTTGAGTAACTGGGACTACAGGCATGTGCCACTGCACCCAGCTAGTTTTCGTTTTTATTTATTTATTTAGAGTCGGAGTCTGTCGTCCAGGCTGAAGTGCTGTGGCATGCTCACAGTCACCGCAGCCTCAACTGGCTGGGCTCAGGTGATCCTTCTGCTTCAGCCTTCCAAGTAGCTGGAACTACTGGTGCACACCACTATGCTCAGCTAATTTTTCTTTTTGATTTATTGTAGAGACAGGGTCTTGCCATGTTACCCAGGCTGGTCTCGAACCCGTGGGCTCAGGCAGTCCTCTCGCCTCCACCTCCTAAAATGCTGGGATTATGAGCGTGAGCCACGGCACCTGGCATTATTTTTATTTTTTCAGAGACAGGATCTCACTTTGTTGCACAGGCTGGTTTCAAATGCCTGGCCTCGAGTGATCCTTCCGCCTCAGCCTTCCAAAGTGCTGGGATTACGGTTGTGAGACACTGCGCCTGGCCTAGAATTTCCTTCTTTTTAAAGGCTAAATAATATTCCATTGTGTGTATATATACCACATTTTGTTTATGAATTCATCTGTTGATGGACACCTGGGTTGCTTTCATGTTTTAGCTACTGTGAATAATGCTACAGCGAACATGGACGTTCACATGCCTCTTGCTTTCCCATTCTCTTGGGTACATACACAGTGGAATTGTCGGATCATATAGTAGTTCTACATTAATTTTTCGAGGAACCGCCATACTGTTTTCCACAGTGCCTGCACCATTTTACATTTGCATTCTCACCAGCAGTGCACAGGGGTTCCAATTTTTCCAACATTTGCTATTTTCTCTTTTTTTAAACATTTTGAAATTATATTTCTTTTTCTTTTTTCTCTTTTTTTTGGAGATGGTCTCATGCTGTTACCGAGGCTAGAGTACAGTGGTGTGACCACGGCTTCTCTCTCTCTCTCT